AACAAAAGCAGCAGAAAGCAAAGATTAAAGTAAAAGAAACAGAACCAACGTGTAGTCCAACTCTTCCTTGTCACACTTTAACGAGGCTTCTCTGAGCCCTCTTCTGTTTTTGTTTTTTGTTGTTTTTTTTTTTTTTTGCGGTGCGCGGGCCTCTCACTGTTGTGGCCTCTTCCGTTGCGGAGCACAGGCTCCGGACGCGCAGGCTCAGCGGCCATGGTTCACCGGCCCAGCCGCTCCGCGGCATGTGGGATCTTCGCGGACCGAGGCACGAACCCGTGTCCCCTGCATCAGCAGGCGGTCTCTCAACAACTGCGCCACCAGGGAAACCCTGAGCCCTCTTCTGGAATAGACCTTATCCTTGGCCTTCTGTCCTTGGCCGACTGCCAAACCAGTTTAACAAGAATCTCCCCAACTCTTGATACCTAACCAAGTTCCTCTTAGTAATTTTCCATCCACTGACTCCCTCGACCTGCCTATTAGCTATAAATCCCAAGCTGTCCCTATTGTATTTGGAGTTGAGTTCATTCTCTCTCCTACTAGAATAGACTCGACCCCTATTGCAATAGTCTGGGTAAAGTCTTCCTTGCCTGTTTAAATTGTTCAGTGCAATTTTTCTTTGACCCTTCCATCCTCAAGGTCACCTCATGATCTGAAATGTCTACTGCCACTACAGCAAACACATACGCATTCTGGGAAGGAGGAAGTAAGAAAAAGGTTGTAGAGGATAAAAAGTGTTGACTTCTCACTTGGGTCCCCTCTCTTCAAGCAGCCCTCTCAGGAGATATCACAGAAAGTAGTACACAACACTTTTGCTTCCATCTCAGGGACCCAAACTTAATCACACGGACACACCCAGCTTCAAGAGTGGCAGGATAATCCTTCAGCTGAGCACATTGCTGCTTCAATTAAAATCTGAATTCTGTTATTTAAGATAAAAAAGGTAGTATATTGGGTAGCATGTAGCTGTCTCTGCCACAGGTGGTGGGATTGAAATTAAGTAAACCATATAGGGGTTATTATAATTCAGATAAGAGATAATTTATGTATTTTTTCCAGCCTTATTGAGATATAATTGACATATAACATTGTGCAAATTTAAGATGTACAACGTGATGATTTGATACATGGATATATTGAGAAATGATTTCCATGATAAGGTTAGTTAACACATCCATCACCTCACATAATTACCTTTTTTTTAATGTGTGTGTGGTAAGAATATTTAAGATCTACTCTCTTAGCAAATTAAAAGTATACGATACAGTATTGTTAACTACTGTCTTTACAACTCCCACTCATAGTCCCCCAAAAGCAGGGGATGGGGGTGGGGATGTAATACAGTGCTGAAGTGTGCAGCCCTCTGTTACCCACCCCCCCGCACCCCGTTACCAGGCAACAGTTACCCCGAGGCCAATAATGCAGAAGGTTAGAGCAGCATTAGAGGTCCTGCTCAGCCACTGGTCGGCGCCGCAGTGGGCCCCTCCCCCAAGCAAGGAACTGTCCACAGGTGACCATTAGAGGGGCACTGAGCCAAACGTTGGGGGAGTCGGGGTCGTCAGGTGGAGAGTGAGGTAAGAGGGAAATCCAGGTCCTCTGCCGGGCGCCTTCCAGCTCATCTGGCCTCGAGCTGGCGGGTGAGTTGGGGGGCCCAGGGAACAGGCTGGGGCTGTGTCCTACAGGGCTCCAGAGCCCTTGCCAAGACCACCCACTGGCCGGGCCCAGACCCTGAGGTGGTGGCGAACCTCTCCTGCGTCCCTGCCTCTGCGACCTAATGGCACAGGCAGTCTGCATGGGAGACGGTCTGTGGGACCTGGCCCCCACTGTTAGGGCGGCCTGAGGAGCCTGAGGGCCAGCTGGGTCCTGGGGGCCTGGCTCCCTCAGCGATGACAGCAGCTAGACAGGGTCTGAGGAGCTCGCCCTGAGGGAGCCACCAACTGAGAACTGCCTCTTCAGCCAGGCCTGGGCACTGGCGGGAGGACCCAGACTGGATGCTGGACGAACACTCCAGGGCAGGGTAACTTCCCCCCACCACACACACAGGGACCCCCTTCTCTTAGCCAGGCCTGGACCCCGAAGGCTGAAAGTTGTGCCTTGGGACCTTTCCCTTTCTTGTCAGAACAGAGAGTAACATTTGTTTGGTGGAGATTTACAGGAACATCGTTACCTGACTTTGACCTCATCTCAAGAACAGAGGATCTGACACCAAGAATCTTCCAACAACTAAGCATGCCCCTCCTTCACCTATCCTATAAAAGGGCTTTGCTGAAAGCTTTTAGAGAGTTTGGGGTGTTTTTAAAGGCATGAGCCACCTATCTCCTTGCACGGCCCTGCAGTAACCTTTTCTCTGTTCCAAACTCTGACGTTTTGGTATTGTGTGGCCTCACTGTGCGTCAGCACACGGACTTGTGTTATGGTAACAGGGAGAGTGTTAGCTGCTCCAGAATTTCCATATAGGAGAAGCTAAGGGAGCAGTCAGACTGGACTTAACGCTTCATTTATATAGTAAGGACATTGTTATTACTTAGATTTTAATTTACAAATAAATAAAAATAGCAGTTTTCCTTAAGTGCTTTTAGTCACATGTTGACCATCTTAAAAACTGTTATTATTTTTTATTATTGCTGCCTACTATTGTTTTACTTGCAGTAGTTAAGGTGAAGGCTAACGAAGATTAATGGGGATTTATCAAGTCTCCATTCGCCCCACCAGCCCTTTAGAAGGGCTGTATCTCTCTGGAAAGGATAGGACTACTCTGAGTTCTACCCTATTTCCCCCAGTTCTTTCTCACGTTAAGGGCTGTACCACCTTTCCTGCAGCGGATTGCCCATTGTGACATTTCTGTTGCCAAGTGTTTTTGTCCAGGGGCGGACCTCTCCATTCTCCGAAAAGTGGATTGTAGCACCCTGACTTTCCCCCCCTCATCTCCTGGTGGTTTCTCCCAGGATCCAGCCTTGGTACATAAGACGTTTGTCCTTCTCCCTTGGTGACATTTTTCTTTCTGGCCCTCCACATTCCTGGTGGTTTCTCCAAGCAGGTAATTGCTCTCTGCGTGGTGCTGATTCCTGAGGGGCAATTTAGGTTTTTCTAAACATAACATGGAGTTCGGGACCCCATCTCCAACCTTCCTCCTCCCGGAAGCCCACCTAGTACACTCCCACATGCTCTGTGGCAACCCCTGCCTCGCTCTAAAAACCCGCAGGAGGCCTCTTCCTTCGCTGTACGGAACGGATACGCTTCCAAGATGGCGGCCCGCGCGCAGAAGCACACTGGGTGCAGCCATGTTCTCTGCCCAACAGCGCCTCTCAGGGAAACTGCGCAAGGTCCCTAACAAAGTCTCTTCGCCGTGTTGACTGTTGGCGGAATGCGGCTTCCAGGGTAATTCAGAGCATGCGCAATACCAACAGTCCGTCAGGTGCTAGAGGCCCGACTGGAAGCGGAAGTGGCTCTCGGAGGCGTATTTGCTGGTTGTGTCAGGAGCATCTTCATACGTTAATGCCGAGAGGTCTCTGAGGTGATTTTGGTTGCTTTTAATTAGGAATTCTGTGGGGTCAATGATGGAAGGCTTGTCAGTGGAGTTAGTGATGGTGGTTTGGGGATTCAGTGGTGGGGGGTGGGGTCTGTGGCGTCCGTTATTGGGTGTCAGAGAGAGGTCAGTGATGGGGTCCTGGGCAATGGTGAATATCTTTGAGATGAGTGATTGGGATTTGGGGGCCCAGTGATGGGAGTCTGTGGTCAGTGATAGGGCCTGGGGCGTCAGCATGAGGAATCTATGGGGTCTGTGATGAGCTCGCTTTTTAAATACTCACAAGCATTTTCTTTATTGCTCCCATTTCAGTGTTTGGGTTTTTGTTTTTTGAATTTCAGTTAATGTTTTCTTTGATCCATGAATTATTTAGAAGGGCATTCTCTATTTCAAATAATGCCTCTGGGTGACGCTCGAGTGTAAAAATTGCTTATGGCCCAGTTCAGGGTCAGTTTTCATAAATGTCACATCTATTACATAAAAACAATTGTATTCTTTATTAATTGTATTGTTTCATATAGATTGCATTATATATATTATTTTGTCTGCTTAATTAATTACCGAGAAAGGTAAACTCACACTGGAAAAGTTATTTATCCTCTTGCCCTTCCTTCAACCAGTTTCTGCTTTATATATTTGGAAATATTATTAGGAGCAGTTATGTGTATTTTCAATAATAGATATAACTAAATAACTCAAAAGATATTATAGCAATTTAAGCACCCACCAGCAATTTATAAAAGAGCTCATTTTCCAAAATGCTTTCCAGCATTTAAAAGAAAGTTTTTACAGTTCTGAGGGAAAATTATGTCTGATTCGTCTAATGCACTTTCCCGTCAGTAATGTTGGCACCTTTTGGGTTAATTGCCATCTAAATTTACTTTTCTGTGAATTTTCATGTCCTTTGTCTTTTTTTTCCCCTGGGCTTTTATTATTTTTCCACTTGATTGCTAGATTTTTTTTTTTTAACAATAAGGATAACCTGTCATCACATATTGAAACTTTTATGTATATATATCTTCATTTTTATTTTCAAGGTGCATTTTAACATATAATTAGGAAATATCGAATCAGAAATATTTGGTTTTTCTTTTATAGTTTCTGGGTTTTCTCTCATGTACAATAAGATCCCTCTGACTCCACCAGAATGTTATACAATCGTATACTCCTAAAATTTATTTTAATATTCTTTGAGATTTTTAAAATACATATACTTAAAATATTTACTCATGTTGGAATTCAGTCTAATGTATAGTGTGCAATGGAGATCTAGCTTGTTTTGTTCCAGGTGGAAGGCCAGTTATGTCAGCACCATTTATGCAATGAATGTCTTGTGTACACTCAATTGAATGTCATTTTTTTCTTTTTTTTTTTTTCCGGTACGCGGGCCTCTCACTGCTGTGGCCTCTCCCGTTGCGGAGCACAGGCTCCGGACGCGCAGGCTCAGCGGCCACGGCTCACAGGCCCAGCCGCTCCGCGGCATGTGGGATCCTCCCAGACCGGGGCACGATCCCGCGTCCCCTGCATTGGCAGGCGGACTGTCAACCACTGCGCCACCAGGGAAGCCCTGAATGTCACTTTTGTCACATACCTAAATCAGTATTGTCTGTTGTTTTACTTGCTTTGATTATATTGTTTTTTATATTAACTTTTAATATCTAATAGTGCATAGTAATTGCTGATATTTATTGGATGCTTTTTGTATTCCAGGGAAGTGTTGAGTATTTTGTAAGCATCATCTCATTTCATTTTCGTAACTCTATGAGGTACGCACTTTCATTCTCATTTTTGAAACTAAAGCTAAAAATAACTTATTCATTTTCTCATAGCCAAAAAGTAGCAGAGCTGCAATTCAAATCTTCAGTAGTGTCACTCCATATCTCATGTTTTTTTCTCATAGTTTACCATGACTAATAACCTATCACAGGTTTTGTTAAACTTCATGTTCTCCACAGCACTGGTTCTCAAAGTATGGTTCCTGGAACAGTAGCATTAGCATCACCTGGGTACTAGTTAGAAATGCAGATTCTTGGGCCCTGCTATGATCTTAATGTTTGTTCCCCCCAAATTCATATGTTGAAATTCTAATACCCAAAAGTATGGTATTAGAAGATGGGGCCTTTGGGGGATGATTAGGTCATGAAAGTAGAACCCTGATGAATGGGATTAGCGCTCTTATAAAAGATACCCCACAAAGCTTCATAGCCCCTTCCACCATGTGAAGACACAGCTAGAAGGTGCTGGCTATGAACCAGGAAGAGAGCCTTCATCGAAACGTGATCATGGACTTGATCTTGGACTTCCTAGCTTCCAGAGCTGTGAGCAATAAATTTCTGTTGTTTATAAGCTACCCAGTCTGTGGTATTTTGTTAGAGCAACCCGAATAGTCTGAGACAGGCCCTACCCTAGACCTACTGAATCAGAAACGGTGGGAGTGTGGGGATTTTTAACTGTATTTAAACAAACCCTCCAGGTGATTCGAATGCACGCTCAAGCTTGAGAACCACGGTCCTGTGGTGTCTAGCTCAGGGAACTACACCTTGGAGTTCACTGGAGATGTTTATGTGATGACTGACCATGTGGACATTATCTTTCCAGGGAGCCCCTGGGTCAGATCTTCCTCCAGATTCCACCTCACCTCTTCTTAGCATCTCTGCTTGAGTTTACAGATGTCCACCAAACTTTAGGCTCCTGAGAGAATAAAGGCTGAGACCCAGCATGACCATGCCAGCTAATTGGACCTCTCACCAGAAATCCCTGGGCCTGGCTCCAGAGGAACATGGCAGCTCATGTGAGGTGAGGAGGAGGAATTCCAGGGGGTGGAAATTCATTCTGGGAGTAGTTTGATCTTTACAACAAAGTTTTATGTAAAGATGTCTAAAATTATTCCCAACGTTGTTTTTGGTGTTTGTTTTATTTTGTTTACCATATTAACCTTGATGTCTAAACCCATCAATGACAGTAAAAGAACTGAAAATTATGAGCATAGATTCAGAAATCAAATGTATTAACTACTCACAGCAAAACAATGTTCAAAAATAATCTAGAAAAATAACTTATCTCAATTTAAAATCTAGATGAAAGGGTGGATTTCTAGGAACATACTAAATTTCCCATCAAATCTTTAATTACCATTTACCACGTTTTCACTTGTAGGTGTTAAGACTTTTACTTAAAAAATTCTCCTTTTAATAAAATTAGGATTGCACCTTTGGAGAGATTTGTTTGCATTGATTTTATTCTGCTTTTGGAATGTTAACTTTGTGTATGTGTGCAAATTTTATGTTTAATATTTCTAAATGTTACAGAGTCACTTGAAAAGAATATTTCCAGATATAGACTTTGTTATCAATAAAATATGTAGTTAGGAGGTTTTTACAATGTGGCTTGTTTTTTCCTCTTTATCTCCTGGAGCTGAGAGATATTATTTAAAGTTTCCCACCATGAGTATATTTCTATCTGTATTGCCTATAGTTTCTGTTTATAAATTTTGATGCTATGTAATTTGTTGCAGTGATAGTAATGACATCTCAAGTTCATTTTGGATTGTGTCCTTGTCCTGTTTAATATCTTTTCTTAGAATTCAGCTCTGTCTGATATTAAGATGGAGGCTGTTATTTCCTTTCTGTTGGCATATCCAAATATGCCTTTTGCTTATCCTTTTACGGTCAGCCTTTGGAGTCCTTGTGCATTTCTCTGTACAGCAGTGGAAAGATGCTTTTTATGTTACACTTCTGATGTGGATGTTTCTTTTATGTATCTTTCACTGTATACTCTGTATTTTTTGCTTTTGTTTCTGTGTCATTCTGGTAATTAGAAGGGTTTAGATTCTTTTTTGTTTGGTTAGTTCTCTTAGTGTCACCCTTATCGCATTAACTTTTTGAACTAAATCTTTTACTCTTTTAGACAATATCTATTAAATTTGTACTGTGAATAATGATAAGAGTTCTATACTACTACTTCAAGGATCCTTTTGTTTGTTGGATATTTTTATTAAACTCTATTTTTGTTTTTTTTTCTATTTTACTTTAAACGTCCTTATTTCCATTTCATGTTGCTTACTTGTCTTAATCTGCTCTTGCCACTTTTTGTGTTTTCATTGAATGTTTTTATTGCTTTCAGAGAGAACTTCATTTCTGTGCTACTTTTTCTTTCTTTTTTACTTCTTTACTGAGTTCTGCCTTTTTTTTTTTTTCAAAAATTTAAATAACCATTTTCTTAACCTGTTTTTTCATTATTTCTTCTTTGGACTCTTATATCCCTATTTATTTCATTAAGTAGTTGATTGTTTTAGTGAATTCCTTGAATTCATGGTGAATGTGTTTTATTGTGTGGCAATTTATTTCTAGCATGTTCCTTTTAATCTCTCTCTTTTCATTCTTTTTGCTTATAGTATCTTTGTACATTAGGAGATTTTTATTGTTACCTTTGAGTAAGGAGATTTTTCCTGGACAGATTGTTTATAAGAACCTCAATTGGTGCGGAGTCAAAGCTACGAATATGACATCTTCTTGATTCCCCATTTAATTCTTGATGACATAGGGTTTAGGGGCCAGGGTTTTGATGTGAGTAGGTTGTGAATATGCAAGTGTATGAAAGAGAAAAATCAGAGTATATGTATTCTTTTCAAGTATATAAGGAACATTTTCAAAGAAATGACAATGTTCTAAGCCCCATAAACAGAATCAACACATCACAAAGAAGCAAACTGTAATCTCTGAACATAGTTAAATGAAGAAATAAAAAAGATAGCTTTCGGGCTTCCCTGGTGGTGCAGTGGTTGAGAGTCCGCCTGCTGATGCAGGGGACACGGGTTCGTGTCCTGGTCGGGGAAGATCCCACATGCCACAGAGCGGCTGGGCCCATGAGCCACGGCCGCTGAGCCTATGCGTCCGGAGCCTGTGCTCTGCAACAGGAGAGGCCACAACAGTGAGAGGCCCGCCTACCGCAGAAAAAAAAAAAAGATAGCTTTCAAGCATCATAATTTTAGACATTAAAAACCACAAGTATCTTTAATACTTATCCTTAATACTTTCTCTGTCCTGTCCTTCCTGCATGCTCATTCCCTACCCTGAATTCAGTGACCTGCTCTGTATATTTAACTCCTGAATCATCATCTCCCTACTAGCTCTCTATCCACCTGCCTAGAGTTCATCCTTGTATATGTCTTATCACTTAAATCTTAGTATGTACAAAATATATTATTTATCTTTTTCCCCCAGCCCCCTCCTCTAGTCCTTAAATTCATCTGTGACCTCAGAATCTACAGCAGATAACTGAGAGTTATCTGAGTTATCTGAGTCATTTTTTCTCACCTTCACACTCGGTATCACTTTTACCTCCTTAATAGCTAGTATCAATCTCTTCTATAGCCTTACTGCAGCCTTACTTTAGATAAGTAAGAAATTTGTATTCTCTCACCTGAATTGTGCAGTGGTTCTCGTGACTTATTTTCTGGTCTTGCCCATTTCAAAATGCTCTGTTATGAGAATAAACTTTCTTCAATATATTTTTTCAATGTTTTATTTATTTTGAAATAATTATAGATTCAAAGGGCATGCAGAATATAGTACAGAGAATTCTCCCATAAATTCCAATTTATTGTGATGCATGATTCTTTTTATTCATTGCTGCATCCAATTTGGCAGTATTTCATTTAGGATGTTTGCATCTAAGTTCTCAAGAGATATTGGTCTGTAGTTTTCTTTTTGGTACTGTCTTTGTAGTGCTTTGGTATCAGGGTAATAATACTGGCCCCAAAAAATTAGTTGGGAAGTGTTTCCTCTTCTTTTAATTTCTGGATGGGATTGTGTAAAAATGAGACTAACTCTTCTTTACAAGTTTAGTAGAATTCTCTAGTAAAACTATCTCGGGACTTCCCTGGTGATCCAGTGGTTAAGACTCTGCTTCCACTGCAAGGGGCACGGGTTCGATCCCTAGTTGGGGAGCTAATATCCTGCATGCTACACGGCGCAGCAAAAAAAAAAACAACAAACTATCTGGGCCTGGAGACTTTTTTTTCCAGGAGCTTTTAAATTATTATTTTAATTTAATGGTTTATGGGATTATCAACTTATGTATTTCATATTGTTGAGTTTTGGTAGTTGTGGTTTTTGAGGAATCGGTCCATTTCTTCTAAGTTGCTGACTCTATTAGCATAGAATTTTTGTATTCCCTTATTTTTCTTTTAATGGCTGCCATATCTGTAACGATATTCATTCCTGACATTGGTAATTTGTATCTTTTTATCTTTGTCAGTCTGGTTGACTACTAGGTCAGTCAGCAAGATTTATCAATTTTATTGATTTTTTTCAAAATAACTACATTGTGTTTTATTGATTTTTCTCTAGTTTTTTGTGTTTTTTTTTCAATTTCCTTGATACCTGTTTTCTATTATTTTCTTCTTTCTGCTTGCTTTGTTTATTTTGCTTTTCTTTTTCTAGTTTCTTGAGGTAGGAATTTAGATTATTGACTTGAGACCTTTCCCCTTTCCTTTTTTAAAAAATTGATGTGTACTTGACGTATAACATATTATTTTCAGGTATACAACATTATTCAATATTTGTATATATTGTGAAATTATCACCACGATAAATCTAGTTCTCATTCATCACTACACATAGTTACAAATATTTTCTCTTGTGTTGAGAACCTTCAAGATCTCTCTTAGCAAGTTTCAAATATACAATCCAGTATTAACTATAGTTATAGTTACCATGCTGTGCATTATGTCCCCGTGACTTATTTTATACCTGGAAGTTTATACTTTTGACCACCTTCACCCATTTTACCCATCACCCACCCCCTGCTTCTGGCAACCACCAGTGTATTCTCTGTATCTATGACTTCAGTTGCTGGTTTTTTTACATTCCACATAAAGTGAGATCATGCGGTATTTGTCCTTCTTTGTCTGACTTATTTCACTTAGCATAATGCCCTCGAAGTCCATCCATGCTGTTGAGAATGGCAAGATTTCCTTCTTTTTTATGGCTGAATAATGTTCCAATGCATATATAAATACCACATTTTCTTTATCCATTCACCCATCATTGGACACTTAGGTTGCTTTCATGTCTTGGCCATTGTGGATAATGCTGCAGTGAACGTGGGGGTGTGTATATTTATTCAAGTTAACATTTTCATTTCTTTTGGATAAATACTTAGATATGGAATTGCTGGATCATATGGCAGTTCTATTTTTAATTTTTTGAAGAGCTTCCATAGTATTTTCCATAGTGGTTGCACCAATTGACATTCTTCCAGTAGTGCACAAGGATTCCCTTTTCTCTACATCTTTGCCAGCACTTATTATTTCTTGGGTTTGTGGGTTTTTTTTGTTGTTGTTACATTCTGACAGGTGTAAGGTGATATCTCATTGTGAATTTGACTTGTATTACCCTGATCATTAGTGACGTTGAGCACGTTTTCATTATCTGTTGGCAATCTGTATATTTTCTTTGGAAAAATGTCTTATTCAGATTCTCTGCCCATTTTTTACTTGGATCATTTGTTTCCCCTTTTCTATAAATTTCCCTTTCAGCATCCCACAGATTTTGATACATTGTATTTTCACTTTTTTTCAGTTCTATGTATTTTCTAGATTTCTTTTGAGAATTCCTCTTTGACTTATAGGTTATTTAGAAGTGTGTTGATTAACTTCCAGATATTTCCAGACTTTCCAGATAGCTTTTGTTACTGTTTTCTAATATAATTCCTTTGGAGATTTTTCTGTTGTCTTTCTGTTATTGAGTTTTAGTTTGATTCCATTATTTTCAGAGAATATACTTCATATTATTTCATTTCTTTCCAGTTGAGATTTATTTCACAGCCTAGGATATGGTCTGTCTTGGTCATTGTTCTATGGATGCCTGAAAAGAATGTGTATTCTGCTGTTGTTGGTTAGAGTATTCTATAAATATTGATTAGATCCTGTTGTTTGTTTTTCTATATCATTGATAATACCCTGTCTATTATTTCTATAATTTACTGAGTGTGGGCTGTTCAGGTCCCTATAGATCCCTTTTTTAAGTGTTTGACTCCAGGTGGAAATAGCCATTCCTTCAATTATGCATTTCCAGATTAGATTTTTTTAATATGGAAGATCATGTTTTTTAAAATACATTTTGCTATGAAAAAAATGTAAATGTATTCAAGAGTAAAGAGAATAGTATAAGGAGCCCATGTATCTATTGTACCTATCACTCAGCTTTATTAGTGATCAACATTCTGTCATTCTTATATTGTCTAAAACTACCCTCCTTCCCAGCTGCTAGATTATTTTAAAGTAAATCCCCAAAACCATTTTATCTGTGACTACTTTGATGTATATCTCTAAAAGATGAGAATTCTTTTTTTCTTCCTTTTTGTTTGACATAACCATTAAGCCATTATCACACCTAAAACATAATATCAATAATTCCTAGGTATCATCTGATACCCAGTTATTATTTGAATTTGAAACATGCCATAAATATCTTTTTAATGTTGGTTTGCTTTAATTAAGAGCCAGACATGGTCCACAAGTTGCATTTGGTTAGTATGACTCTGAAGTCTCTTTTAATAAAGAAAAGATTCTCCTTCATATTTTTTCTGTTGTAATTTATTTTTTGAAGAAACAGGCCATTTTCTGCCTTCTGGATTTAGCTCATGTTTTGGTCTTGATATTGTTCAACATATTCCTCTATACTTCATATTACCTATGAATGATTTGTTGGATCTGGAGGCTTAATGAGATTCAGGTTGTATTTTTCTTTATGTTTTGTAAAAGTACTTAAAAATGGGTGGTATGAAGTTAATTACTATATCATGTCAGGAGGCACATAATACATGGTTATCTCCCTTTTTGTGATGTTAAAATTGATGAGTGGATGCCATTGTTACTAGCTGACTCATGCATTTTAAACTTCTCTTCAGCCTTTCACCTGAAACAGTTGAGCAACCCTTAATGATTATTGTCTAAACTCATTATTTCATTAGGAGTTATGAGATGATGGTATTCTAATTCTATCCTAACTTCTTCATTTATTAGCCAGAAATCATTTTGTAAGGAACTGTTCCTCATCATTTATTTGGTTATTCTGCAATACAGGTCTTATACAAAAAAAATGTTTACTATAAATCTGACTACCTTAATTACCTTTACTTAAAATGGAAAATTCATACTTGTTCTATGAGCAAACTGTTTTTCCCATAACCACCTTCCTGGCTTGTCATGCAGACTTCTCTTCATTTACATAGAGCTATTTGCTCTTCTCCAAACTCATCATGTATTTTCCTATATCCACACCTTTGCTTGTCTTTTCTGGGAAATGACCTTCCTCACTTCCCCATTCTGTGTTATACTTCTCATCTTCCAACTTAAATTCCTCAACTAATAATAAACTTACACACCCATGTGGAATGTATTTTTCCTTTTTGGGGACCTCAGTGTGTTCCACATAGAGATTTACTTTTTGACACTTTAGTGAACTTGTGTCTTCTTTTACTTTACTTTTAAAACATAGGTCTTGTTTATTTTCCAAGTCTTTTAAGTTGCTAGAAGATTAGAAACATAAATAATTCGTATTTGTGTTCCCAGGGCTAGCATAATGGCTGGTCCTAAATTGCTCAGAAATTGTATCACAGGTCATTCATCCAGTTGCTAGAAAACTACAAGAGAGCCTATTTCAATCTTTAGTTTTGAAAAACGAGTAATTGACTGACCATAGTATAGAACAATAGCAGAAATTCTTTACTGGCTTTCTTTCTTCCATAAAATAATATGTAAAACTAGATATTTAATATACACCGTATATGCAATACCATTTTTTAAAAAGTTCCTGGATTACACAGGTGTATGCACTTGTCAAAACTTCAAATGGTACTCTGAGGACTTGTGCATTTCATTGTATGTAAAGCTTACCTAAAAAAGGTAAAAAAATGTTATACTCCACTTAATGATTTGCATTCTGAAGTATTTAGGAGGAAGTGTACTGGCATCTGTAGTTTACTTTGAAATGAACAAAAAAGTAATATGGATTGATGGATGGGTAAATGTGTGGTAAGACAAGTAGAGTAAATTGTTAGGGATAGATTCTAAGTGGTGGTTATATAGGTTTTCACTACACAATTATTTAAAATTTTCTGTATGTTTGTAAAATTTCATAATAAAATGTTAGGGAAATGGGGGGTGAGTTTTTAAAAAGAGGAGGTAAATTAACAACAAAACCTAAGTTCCATATTCCTAAATATAGTCTCTCCATCCCCCAAAACTATTCATGCTGAACAGGAATGTGCCCTTACAGGGATCAGTGTCCTTCAGGGATGTGGCTGTAGATTTCAGCAGAGAGGAGTGGCAGCAGCTAGACCTTGATCAGAAAAACCTGTACCGGGATGTGATGCTGGAGACCTATAGCCACCTGCTCTCAGTAGGTAAGCACAGTTACCTGAGTGTCTGAAAGAAGGGCCCCACTGAGAGTGTTTTTATTCTCAGTTGCTGAATGCTGTGAGACACCTGACTTATATGATGGTTTTGTCCTTGATTTGTCCAGGATTCTTTATCCCTTTTGGGCACTCTGAATTTTACAGTTGACCCTTGAACAACACAAGGGTTAGTGGTGCAGATCTGGCACAGTTGAAAATTCACATACAACTTTTTTTTTTTTTTGAGGTACGTGGGCCTCTCACTGTTGTGGCCTCTCCCGTTGCGGAGCACAGGCTCCGGGCGCGCAGGCTCAGCGGCCATGGCTCACGGGCCCAGCCGCTCCACAGCATGTGGGATCTTCCCGGACCGGGGCATGAACCCGTGTCCCCTGCATTGGCAGGCAGGCTCTCAACCACTGCGCCACCAGGGAAGCCCCACATACAACTTTTGACTTGCCAAACACTTAACTCCTAATAGTCTACTGTTGACTGAAAGGCTTACCAATAACATAAATAGTCAATTAACGCATATTTTGTGTGTTATATGTATTATATACTGTATTCTTACAATAAAGTAAGCTAGAGAAAAGGTTATTAAGAAGATCATAAGGAAGAGAAAATACATTTACTGTACTGTATTTATCAATACCGTAAGTTTATGTCATCTATTTATAAGGTGAATCGGCTGTCAATGCCTACATCAATATTGTCTTAAATGATACAAAGCACTATAGATGTTATATGTATTACAACACTAGACATCAAAAATGAAAAGGTAATGTGAAAATGAAATTCATATTTATTTATAGGTGTAATGAATGATTCATGTATTGATAATGAAGAAGTAGCAATATGATTGCTTTATGGTAGCCTAGTGTAATTGATATGATGGTTTCATGGTAGCCTAGCCTATACAGTAATGAATAAAGTGTTATAAAATTTTTATGGCATACAGTATTATAGTCATATTCATAATGCAGTATTGGAAACATTGTTACATTAAGAAAAAACCACTTACCTGTGATGATAGGCTGATACCCAGTTTCTCCAATTACAAGAGAGGCATACTGTACAATAATGCACTTCTTGGAAAGCAGAGTTATAAAACAGTAAGAAAACTAACACATTATTAATTTTATATTAAATGACACTCACCTTATGCCTATGTAAGGATAGGCTGTCCACCTCAATACAAGTCTTGTACATGATGTTCTACATGATGAATACTTAGTCAATGATGATGACGATGACACACAAACTCTTCATACAGTTCTTGCCGTACAGTTATTAGATTTTTACAGGAAGACACATGTATACACAACAGATAAGTTTATTAACTGTACAGCATGATGATTCTTTACTGCTTTTTAAGTGGAAGTGAATCATCATAAAGGTCTTCATCCTCGTTGTCTTCACATTGAATGGGCTGAGGAGGAGAAGGAAGAGGAGGAGTTGGTTTTGCTGTCTCGGGGATGGCAGAGGTGGAGGAAGTGGGGGAGGTGGAAGAGGGGAAGCAGGAGATACAGGCACACTCGATGTAACATTATGGAAATACATCATAATTTCTAACTTTTTTGCTTTTTCATTTCTCTAAAAATATTTCTATACCATACCAACTCTTCTTCCACCATTTGCTTTAGTTTCAGTGCCCATATCATAGAAAGGTCCATGTGGTAAAAGAAGTCAAAAGCAGTCTTAAGTAAATCTGAACACTTCTGCCAGACTGTCTAATGTCAACTTGTTTTCTGGCACTGCTTCTTCATGTTTTCTTTCTAATCATCTGGCATTGGTTCGAAAGCCCTCAGATTCATCAAGCCTCTGCTGTGATGTCTATTAGCTCTTAAATTTCTCCAAGATAATCCTCCACACCCTCACCCCCACCTTTTTTGCCTTATTCACAATGTCTTTCTTGATTTCCCTTATTTACTCTGTTGTAAATCCTATGCAGTCATACACAACATCTGGACACAGTTTTTCTGGCAGGAATTTATTGTTTCAGGCTTGATGGCTTTCATGGCTTTTTCTATAACAACGATGGCATCGTCAGTGGTGTAATCCTTCCAGCCTTTTATGATGTTCTCTCTATCAAGTTTCTCTTTCACAGTGTTGACAGTCCTTTCCATAGACCACCATGTGTAATAAGCCTTAATGGTCCTTGTGACCCCCTGATCTAGGGGCTGAATTAGAGATGTTGTGCTTGGGGGCAGGTAGACCATTTCGTTGCCTTTGGTGTTGAACTCATGGGGTTCTGGGTGACCAGCGACATTGTCCAATATCAAAAGGCAGTCCCTTACTGGCTGGGTACTTACTGACTCCAGGGACAAAGCATCAATGGAACCAATTCAGAAAGAAAGTTCTTGTTGTTCAGGCCTTCTTGTTTTACAACCAAAAGGCTGGCAGCTGGTGTTTATCTTTTCCTTTCAAGGCTTAGGGGTTAGCAGCTTTATAGATAAGGGTTGTCCTAATCATAAACTTGACTGCACTTGCACGAAACAGGGGAGTTAGTTAGGATTTAGGTTCCTGTCCTGGTGCTCACTTCTCTTCCTTAGTCCTTTGTGGCATTTTTTCCAGAATATGGCACTTTCATCTGCATTAAAAACCAGTTCAGGCAGATATCTTTTTTCTCCTGAATGATTTTCTTTATGGCATCTAGGAACTTATCTGCTGCCTTTTGGTCATCAGAAGCTGCTTCTCTTATCTCTTTTTAAAGTCAAACCTCTTTCTAAAATTATCAAACCATCCTTTACTGGCATTAAATTCTCTAGCTTTAAGCCCTTCACCTTCCTTTTGCTTTAAGTTACCATATAAGGACTTTGCTTTTTCTCAAATCATATTAGAATCTATAGATATGCTTTTTAAAAAAATATTTATTTATTTATTTGGCTGTGCCAGGTCTTAGTCGCAGCATGCAGGATCTTCATTGTGGCATGCGGGGTCTTTAGTTGCACATGTGAACTCTTAGTTGTGGCTTGTGGAATCTAGTTCCCCGCCCAGGGATCGAACCCAGGCCCCCTGCATTGGGAGTATGGAGTCTTAGCCACTGGATCACCAGCAAAGTCCTGGAATGCTTTTCTTATAACAATCCTGTACCCACATAAAAACTACATTTTTAATACAAGATAAAAAAAAGTGTTTCTCAAAAAGTGCATGGTGGGAATTCCCTGGCAGTCCAATGGTTAGGACTCTACTCTCTCACTGCTCAGGGCCTGGATTCAGTCCTCCCTAGTTGGGGAAATAGGATCCCACAAGCCATGAGGTGCGGCCAAAAAAGAAAAAAAAACAGATGCAGGGTTTTTTTGTCTGCTGGTATATGCTTCATGTAGTTCTTTCTTTTTTTTTTTTTTACAATGGTTTTTACACTTAATTCATTTATCTTGAAATGGCTGGCAACAACAGCTGCAGACCTCAATCAAGCAATTCAGCTTTTTCTTGTAATGTCATGAATTTTCTCTGTTCTTGGGAGCATTTCCAGCATCACTAGTGGCACTTAGTATGGTAGTATGGGCCCTGTGATATTATTCAAGGTTTATGGTATTGCAATAAACATGAAACATATGTGAGAACCTAGAGAGATTACTTTTTACTGCTATACACAATTTACTGGAGAGAGGGACTGCTCATGAGGCAATGATTAGGGCATTTTAAGTGGATATTTACAGTACTGAGCTCACTGCAATAGCAATAGGAGGTGGCTACAAAATTCATGACATACCTAACTTTTTAAAAACATTTTTTGATATTTCTAGGCTATGAAGTTTGAGTTTTTTCAAATTGTCACGGATCTCCAAAAGATTTTCCAATATTTTCCATAAAATCCATTTATAAGTTGGACCCATGTGGTTCAAAGCCCTGTTGTTCAAGGGTTAACTGTACTCTGTTCTCAGAGATACACTGTTACTTTCCTGTAGAACAAAGCCTCATGGAACAAGACTGTTGGTTGGGCTCTGTAACACAATTAGCTGGACCCAGACCTTTTATCATTTCTCATGAACAGGGTATCAAGTTCCTGAAACAGAGGTTTTCATGTTGGAGCAAGGAAAGGAGCCATGGGCACTGCAGGGTGAGAGCCCACATCAGAGCTGTCCAGGTGAGTGAGTGTGACCCAGACTGATGGGAGACAGGGAAGTAAATCTCAGCCATCTTGAGAAAGACTGGCATCTTTGAAATGCTATTAAGCTGACTCTTCTGGAAGGTTCTGATTTTTTTGTATTATTTGAGGACCCTTGATATCAGCCTCTCAAATAACTAAATGCCTTCTATAAAAATGCCTTTGTCATTTCTGTCTTCTTCCTTGGCTTTTTGGCGTCTGGATCACATGCCAATCTGCCTCAATAAATATTTTCTTTTTTTCTTGGTTATGCTCCTTTTCTCTAACATTCTTTTTTTCTTTCTGCCTTTCGCATTGTCCAAGATTCATTCTTTATGTATTCAGCTATTCATGGATTTTCTTTCTTTAAAAGTTACTGTATGTCACACACTCCCACTCCTGCTAGTCCTCTTTCATTTCTTTCTTTCTCATTGTGAGATGCTTTGGAACTTTATCTCCAATCATGCTCTCTTCCTTTTTTCTCCATAGTCACTGACTTAAGATTTCTCACTTTCCCATTCCCCATGTCTTTCATCCAACTGATGACTTAGAGGTCACTGTTGCTTAACCTTTAGGAGTACCTTTCTGACTTCCTTCCAAGGTTGCTTGAGACTTCACACTGACTGGGGGCTGTCTGCCTGGTTGGCTGATTTTTGAAATTGCTTTATTTCTATACTTCATATGGTGAGGTTTGAGTTTAATCATGTCTTCATTCAGGACACACTATCATCATCAGTATGGGTAAGGATTCTCTATTATTTTATTTTTTCAATTTATTCATTATTCCTTCTTTTCCCCATACTCATCTCACTTCCCATCATAGGCAATTGTTTTATATGATAGAAACATATTTTTAAGTTCATATTTAAAGTGACTTGGGGTGTGTATTATTAGTTTATATAAATATTATTGTGCTATATATCTTGTTCTTTGCCTTTTTTCACTTCCTGGCACAGTGCATTGAGTTCATATTCTAAATAAACTGAATTGTATCCCAGAATGTTTCCTATCACCACTATCACCAAGTCTTCTCAGCCAATGATTCACCCTCACCCTTTTCACTGTGTTCAACCTGGATGAACCATATGACCCTCTTCTCTTGCCTCTGCTAGCTGCTATTTGAGTTAAAATCATCTTATTCTCCTTTGAGAAGGAGAGTTTCGGTTTCAAACCTCACAGAGAATTTCTGAAAAACTTCTTTCTACATTGAGAGGAAAGGTGATGCTACAAGTGACGTTTTATTGTATTTTATTCTAGAAGGATTGTGGCAGATTGATGACCAGATAGAGAGCTATCAACAAAGAGAAAACAAATCTTTAAGAGATGTTGCTTTCATCAAGAAAATATTGACTATAAAGAGGGATTATGAATATAAAGACAGAAAAATAATTCATGTGAGCCAAAACATTCCTTCCCCAAAGAGACCTCATCAGTGTGACTTATATGGAAGTGCTTTAAGCCATAATTTAGATTTACACGGTCATAATAGAAACAGTGGATCAAAGAACATTAATAAGATTACTGAATATGGTAAAATTTCTTCCTGTACTAAACATGAGTGTACTCCAACAGGAGAGAAATTATGGGGCCATAATCAGTGTGGAAAAATCCTCAGCTATAAACAAGTACCCTGTCAACATCAGAAAAGTCATACTGGGGCAAAATCTTATGAATGTGCTGAATTTGGAAATATCTTCACCCAGAAGTCACAACTCAAGGTACATCTGAAAGTGCATACAGGAGAAAAACTGTATGTATGTATTGACTGTGGGAAGGCTTTTGTACAGAAGCCAGAATTCATTACACATCAGAGAACTCATACTAGAGAGAAGCCCTATAAGTGCAGTGAATGTGGGAAAGCCTTTTTCCAAGTATCTTCTCTTTTCAGGCATCAGAGAATTCATACTGGAGAAAAACTCTATGAATGCAGTGAATGTGGGAAAGGCTTCTCTTATAACTCAGATCTTAGTATACATCAGAAAATTCATACTGGAGAGAGACACCATGAGTGCAGTGATTGTGGCAAAGCATTCACGCAGAAGTCCACACTCAAGATGCATCAGAAAATTCATACAGGCGAGAGATCCTATATATGTATTGAATGTGGACAGGCCTTCATCCAGAAGACACACTTGATTGCGCATCGAAGAATTCATACTGGAGAAAAACCATATGAATGCAGTAACTGTGGGAAGTCCTTCATTTCCAAGTCACAACTGCAGGTACATCAACGAACTCACACAAGAACGAAACCGTCTATATGCAACGAATATGGGAAGGTTTTCAACAATAGTTCCAACCTCAATACACATAAGAAAGTACAAATGAGAGAGAAATCTTCCATATGTACTGAATGTGGTAAGGCCTTTACGTACAGGTCAGAGTTGATTATACATCAGAGAATTCACACTGGAGAGAAACCTTATGAATGCAGTGATTGTGGAAAAGCCTTCACTCAGAAGTCAGCACTCACAGTGCATCAGAGAATTCATACAGGAGAAAAATCATATATATGCATGAAATGTGGGCTAGCCTTCATCCAGAAGGCACACTTGATTGCCCATCAAATAATTCATACAGGAGAGAAACCTTATAAATGTGGTAATTGTGGGAAATCCTTTACTTCCAAGTCACAACTTCACGTGCATAAACGAATTCACACAGGAGAGAAACCTTATATGTGCACTAAATGTGGGAAGGCATTTACCAACAGGTCAAATCTCATTACACATCAGAAAACTCATACAGGAGAGAAATCCTATATATGTCCTAAATGTGGCAAGGCCTTCACACAAAGGTCAGACTTGATTACACATCAGAGAATTCATACTGGGGAGAAACCTTATGAATGCAATACCTGCGGAAAAGCCTTCACCCAGAAGTCACACCTCAATATACACCAGAAAATTCACACTGGAGAGAGACAATATGAATGCCATGAATGTGGGAAAGCCTTCAACCAGAAATCAATACTCATTGTGCATCAGAAAATTCATACAGGAGAGAAACCCTATGTGTGCACTGAGTGTGGAAGAGCCTTCATCCGGAAGTCAAACTTTATTACTCATCAGAGAATTCATACTGGGGAGAAACCTTATGAATGCAATGATTGTGGGAAATCCTTCACCTCCAAGTCTCAGCTCCTGGTGCATCGACCAATTCACACAGGAGAAAAACCATATGTGTGTGCTATATGTGGGAAAGCCTTTAGTGGCAGGTCAAATCTCAGTAAACATCAGAAAACTCATACCGGAGAAAAGCCCTACATCTGTTCTGAATGTGGGAAGACCTTCAGACAAAAGTCAGAACTGATTATACATCATAGGATTCATACTGGAGAGAAACCTTATGAATGCAGTGACTGTGGTAAATCGTTCACTAAGAAATCACAGCTCCAAGTGCATCAACGAATTCACACAGGAGAGAAGCCTTATGTGTGTGCTGAGTGTGGGAAGGCCTTCACTGACAGATCAAATTTGAACAAACACCAGACAACGCACACTGGAGACAAACCCTATAAGTGTGTAGTCTGTGGGAAAGGCTTCGTTCAGAAATCGGTTCTCAGCGTGCATCAGAGTATTCACACTTGAGAGAAACATTCTGAGAAAACCTCAGTGAGATCAGATTTTATTTTACATTATGGAATTCGTGCAACAGAAAAATATGCATATTATCGTAACTAGAAATGCTCCATCAGAATGTCATACATTACAGAAGAGGACCTCTGAAAGGACCCTGAATGGGAGGACCCCTTCCCATATTGTCACCAGCCTCAGTAAACCTTGAGGCATTCATACTGAGAAGGAACTTTGTCAGTTTGGTACATTAGAAGAAGCCTTCTCATGAAAACTGTAATGGAACACTGTTAGCAAATTCTGCACTGGAAACATTATGTGAAGTCATGTTAATGATAATCCTGTTTACTGTGGAATAGGTAATATGCCAACAAGTTGAATGGTAGAACAGCATAATATATACGATAACGATAAACCCTAAGTTCTGTGAGATGTTTGTTGCAGAACACATTGCCTAACAGAATTTTGTGTGTCATTCTTCTGTTGAATCAAACGTGGTCTGCGTATCTAATCCCCCATTGCATATTTTTATCAAGAAAGGGATGCCACAATAAAAAAATTATGTATACAGATATAAACCTCAGAGTGTATGTTGACTCCCCCATTATCCTCTAGCACCATGAATGGTACCCCCGCCTTATTAGCCACCAGTAGAGTGTTTTCAACTTTCATACAGCACATTGTCTTCTGACCCCTATAATTGCATTATGACTGCCTATTCGTGTTGACTACCATTATCTCCCAGACTTACTGACCCTTAATTAGCCCCCAGTATAGTGTCCTGTGAGCTCCCATTACCTTCAGGAAAGCTTCTGAAGTAAGAATGTTCAGGTCACCTCAGTCAACTCTTCACCTTGGTCTCCCTTTTGCTGTTACAGTTTTATAGTGCTTCCAGCTCATTTGCCTTCCTTAATGACTTGACCTTTATAATGACAATAATGAATCAATAACTCATTAAAACAAACCCCAACATACCTTCACTGTCTTCTCTCTATCCATCTTCATTCCATGCACTCTTCAAGGACCTTCTCCCCCATGTGCCTCAAACACATCAGGTTAGGTCCTGCCTCAGGGCCTTTGCATTTGCAGTGCCCTCTTCAAAGAGCACAGTTCCTCATTATATCTGTGTGGTTTACTCCGTTGTGTCTTTCTTCCAATGGCATACCTTCACAGAGGCCTGCCCTGCCCTCCCCTGCCTGCCTGGCTTAAAATTCCATCATCCTCCCCTTCCTCCTTTATCCTCTCCATAGCACTTATTACCATGATGCCCTGTATATTTCACTTATTTGTCTATGGTTCCCACTCTAGAATGTTTTTCCCCATTTTGTTCACCGTTGTGAGCCTAGACCCATGCCTGACATACAACAGTCCTTCTATGAGTGCACGTTGTGGAGTGTTGACCGTGCTCATCCCATGACTTCCCTTTGATCCTTTCTGTATTGCAGCATAAGATGCTCCGATGGGGAGAACCAACTTGTCTAAAACACACAAGGCTTTTTCACCCCCAGTCTTTACCTGGGCTGTGCCTCCTTCCTGTTCTAAAAGTTGTAACATCATTGTAAACCTTTTGCTCTGATGCCAGCCCATTTAAAGAAGGGACTGAGGCACAGGAAATCACTCCCACATAGATGGGACTTGATGCTTGATGTTTCAGGATTCTCTTCAATGATTCTGAAATACCACAGTCAGCTCCAAAGTGATCACAAAAGAGCCCACTCACACTGCCCGAGCATGCACAGTCCTGCCTTACCCCAATTGCACCTTGATGGGGCCTTGTCTACCCCATAACCTGACCTACAGACCTGCTTATCATGCCCTGACAGGTATGCCCAAAGCTAATAATATGGAGAGGCCAAGAGCAGAGAAGGGTTGACCTTCCTTAGAAGTTAGGTGTGCAACCTAAGACTGGGGCAGCAGTGGTCTCACAGATGCATGCAGAGGGTCTGATTGAAAGCTCAGCTGCTGGGTGGCCAAATGAACCAGCAAAATGGTTCCTTCAAGTCAGTCCATTGGCAATGCTGAGAGTGGGAAACAGTTGGGTTGTATAGAAATGTTCTCACCTTTGTGAATAGCAGCATGAGGGTTGAGAATGGGGACAGAACCTGGTTAAGGGGACAGGTCTAAGGATTTTCCTGTAATCCTCTCACCCAAATTGGGCAGTGATTAGATACCCCATTACCACACGTTAGATCCATGTCTAATCCATCATTAGCTCCCCTTTATCTCACCCCTTCACAGTATCTGATGAGCCACTGTACATCCTTCTCTATGTTAGAACAGTATCTGGTGACCCACTACTCCCTTTTAACTCATTCAGCACTATTTCTGGGGCTTCACTCAATGTTTTACGACCCACCATTTTCCCCCAACTTAGGACAGTGTTTGCTGATCCCGCAGGAGAGTGTCTGGAGATCTCTCCATTACCCCCTTCTTAACCTACCCCAGCACAATGTCTGGACACCCTCCATTATCCCCCTTTGACTTTACTCCATCACTGTGTTTGTCACCTCTTATTACAGGAAATAGTGTCTGGAGATCTTCTCATTACTTCTTCCAGTTACCTCCAGCATAATGTGTATTACTTCACCACATTTGTGAAGCAGTCTGGTAACCTCCATACTCCCCATTTATTCCCACTTTCACCAAAAAGTAACTGATGACCGCTTATTACAATCCTCAGAGTAGGAAACCATGGTATACCCCACCTAATCCAACTTTTAACATTATCTCCTGATTCTTTCATTACACCTCTATCAGGATGGCTTGTGTTTCCTTCCATTTGTTGTCCATCACAATGATGGTGACCAGTTATCTTCCATTACTCCACCTAACAGTGTTTGTAACCATCCCCAACACAGTATGTGGTGATGCCCCCTATACTCTCTGAACACTGGTGTGTACCATTAACCTGCTTCCCTCTCCCCAGATGAGGGCAATGACTGATAAGGCACCATAAACGTCACATTAGCCATCTCTGTAGGACCCCCATTAACAACTGGCACAAAGTCTCTTGGTGCCCATTACCCACTAATACAGTATCTGTGACTCTTCCATTAAATCCTGGTAATATCTGCTATTTCCCTATTGGCCCTCAGTAACACAGTGTCTACTGATTCCCCGTTGCCCACATTGCTTCATGAAGCCACTTAGTGTGGCTACTGCAAGTCCCCCAGTATTGCTTCTCCAAGTCCCCACTGTTTGCCTGGACAGGAATCCTGGGGGATGGAGAAGGGATGAGGATCAGGTCCTAGCCTCATAGACACCCTCCAGGGAATTGTTGTTCTGGAGTAGGCTGGGGAGGATCTGGGAGACCCAGGAGATCACAAACAGCTTCCCATTTACTACATGAGGAATGAAACAAGCAGAATAGTGAAAGCTGTCAACGTGGATTAATATCCAGGTGCCAACCCTGATGCCCAGTAACCTCCCCCGAGCCTCAGTTGCCTCACCTGTAAAATAGAGTTATGGAGGATGAAGTGACTTAATATGGGTCACTTGAGGGGAGTAGGGCTAGTGGAGACCAATGAGAGGGTCCCTGTTGTTAATGATATTACTAGTTATAAGTTGACACAAGATCAACCTCTGTATGGCTGTACCAAAACCTCACAGAGGGAAATGTATGTTATTTTATTGTAAATTACTTTCAATTATTTCTCCTTTATATTTACTGTAACATAATATTATAGTACTGAGATATTTTTAAAGTCAGCTTTATTGAGGTATAATTTACACACAGTAATAGTCACCCTTAAAAGTGTACAGTTCTGACAAATGTGTACAATCATGTGATCAACATCACAACCAAGAGTTCCTTCACTCCCCTAAATTCCCTCCTATCCCTTTTTAATCAATCTCTCTATCCACTCCCAACCCGTCGAAATCATTGATCCGTTTCCTGTTTCTATAGTTTTTTCTTTTTCACATGTCATATAAATGTGTGTGTATCCATATATATGTAAAAATGTGTCTCCTTTGGAGTCTGACTTCTTTCATTTAGTGTATTTGAGATTCATCCATATGGTTGTATGAGATACAAATGGAAATATGCTGATGAAAAGACATTCAACATCATTAGTCATCAGGAAAATGCAAATTAAAACCATAATGACATACCACTACACACTTATCAGAATGGCAATAAATAACAGTACAAAAGTTGGCAAGGATGTAAAGCAATAGACACTTGCATGCATTGCTGATGGGAATGTTATACAATGGTATCTCCACTCTGGGCAAAAGTTTCACAAGTTCTTATAAAGTTAACTATATACTTATCCTATGACCCAGCAATCCCACTCCTAGGTATTTATCCTAGAGAAATGAGAAATTATATACTCGAATGTTCACAGAAACCGCATTCATAATCACCAAAAGATTAGAAACAACCCAAATGTCCATCAGTGGGTGAATAAACACAATGTAGTACATCTGTACAATGGAATACTACTCAGCCATAAAAAGGCTGATTTATGACACCAGAGAAAGGAATGATTCATTGACACAAGTTACAACGTGGATGAATCTCAAAAGTATGTTTTACCGTGTGATAATTTAAATTATGTTTGATAAAAGACTTCTTATTAGAAATTAGATTATAAATATCTATACATAATTAGATTTGTACATTAGTTATAATTTTATACTGCATATCATTATATACTATAATAATGTATATTTGTAATATAGTACACTGTAATACCATTTATTGTATATTCCTTATTACAATAAAAATGTTTATTTTATATGAATGTAATATGTACTGTATGATTATATATTGGAGTATGTAATTTTTTTCTATTTTGTATATCAATTTTTCACATAAAGTTTCAGTTATTTGTATTTTTACATGTTTACATTTAATGTTTATAGTGTAAAGTTAAAGCTATAATAAAAGAGGCCATAGGGTCTGAAGAACCTGCAGTTGTAGCTGGTCAACGTTTTTACTATCTGTCAACACGCCCATTCTGGCTGTTCTTAGCATGGCTGAAGCTTGTTTCTCTTTGGGCCTTTGCCTGGCTGTGTTCTCTGAGAGTACTCTGCTTTCCCAGTGTTCATGCAGTTTGCTGTCCTCTTCTGTTTGGAGAGTTCACACATACACACACCATTGTATATGAAGTAACACACTTCTTGGAGTCACTTCCTATTTTGTACTATATTTGTGCTGCAAGTACCACCGTCTGACCTAATATTAAATGTTTCTTTTTTTGATTTATCATTCCTTCCTCCCCACTGGACCATCACCCTCATGATGTCAGGACTTTGTCTTTCTCCTGCTGTGTCCAAGGCAGCCAGCATGGTTCCAGCACAAAGTAGAAACTCAGTACAAATTTGTTAAACGGATGAATGAATGATAGCAATAGCAGTGAGGTTGACCAAGTGCTCCACACGGTGAGCTAAATTTGTGGGGAGGAAGGAGGAGGTAGGAGGGTGGGTTGGTTATAGGTCCTCTAATTTGAGATTTAATTCCCCTCCTCATGCCCCGGCACAACCACGCCCTTTCTCCCCTGGCCATCCCATCCTTCCCCTCCCCAGTGTATCTGACCTGCATCCTCCCCCAGCATCCGCAAGTTAGCACTGTGTCTCCTTACTAAGCCTCCTCCAGGTTGTGGTGGGTAGGCTATGTAGAGCAGGGAGGACAATAGTGGGGGACACACAGGCAGGGGGCCATCCTGGCAGCATCCACCCCAGCACTTTCAATCTCGTAACCCATCATTCAGTCCAGTCTGCCCTGCCTGCTCTATCAGAGGAGCCACCAGTGGATATGAAACCCAGGGGACAAGGGGAAGGTGGCAGGGTGGAGGATTCCAGGCCTAGTGTGGCAGGTGTGGACCCTGTGGCTAAGGTCTGGTTAAAGCCAATGTTGTCATGGGCACTTGCCCTAATGTCAGGGTAAGCTGAGACCTGCATCCTCAGCATTCAATAGGGCTACTTGTGCTGGGGTGACTGTTATCTATATTATATCCTACCCCACCTGAGCTCACCCCACTTTCCATGCCATATGCTGTACCATACCATACACCATACCATACCACTTATTAACTATTTTACTTAATTCTACAATTATATTCTTATTGAAGTATAATTAATAGTTATAATTTATAACTAATATCAGAATCCTTGTCATTATTTATTGTATGCCTCAAATTATTAAGATACCATGAATAACATCAACTCTGATACTAAGAAATCCCATGGCCCTTCTGCTTTCTGCTACCTTCTGGTTGTTGTCTGCATTATATTAACACAACAATAGCCCCACCCCTAGGGGCAATGTTTTTTCTCCTTTGTGAAATAGGCACAATTAGTTTACTCCTTTATTGATATTATTGTGCTATTTTAATATTATAATATTGGACACTGCTACTAAAACAAAAACTGGTTTTCTCTGTTCCCATCTAAGAACAGGACAATGTAAGCACAACATTAATACAATCATTTGAATTATATTAAGGTTATGATTATTATTAATGCCAATTCTGAGAACCCATGGTGGGTTCCATTGCACTCTGGAAAGTGGCACATTTATAATGCATTGCTGAGTAGGTTAGCTAACTATTTATTGCTATGTAACAAAGTACCCAAAACTTAATGGCTTAAAACAACAGTAAACATTTATTCTCTTACAGTTTCTGAGAGCCAGGAATCTGGGAACAGCTTAGCTTTTGGTGGTTCTGGCTCAGGAACTGTCCTGAGGTTGTAGTCAAGATGTTGGCCAGATGTTGCAGTAATCTGAAGACTTACTGGGGTTTGTGGGCTCTGATTCCAAGCTAGCTTACATGACTATTGGCAGAAGGCTTTAATACCTCACCACATGGACCCCACAAGTCTTCTTGGATGTATTCACAATATGGTGGTTGGATTGGTTACCTTGGTCAACCTTATTCATTGTAGAAGAGGACTACACAGAAGTTTGAATACCAGGAGGCAAGATTCATTAAGGGAAATCTTGCAGGCTGGCTACCATGCTGGCAGTGTGATTATTTGCATTTATGTTAATACTATCATAATAATTGATACCACTATTAAGAATGATGACAATCTTGTAAACCCAAGGGAGATGGTCCACGCTACAAGGTCTCTGTGAGGTTTAAATGACATGGAGCTCAGTACACAGTGCTAATGATGATGATGATGGCAGCAAGTTTTACTATTTGAGTGCACTTGTCCCTGTTCCAGGCAATTTAAACCTATAAGCTCAATCCAGTCCACACAACAGTGCTTAAGATAGGCTCAATTATTATTCCTATTTCACAGATGAGGTATCCGAGTCCTTAAGAGTTGAGGAGCTTGCTCAAGGTCACAAAGCTAGTAAATAGCACAGGGGGAATTCAAACCCAGGCCAGCTGGCTACAAGGTCCATTGTATTAACCCCCATGCAATGTGACTCTGAAAGGTCATTGTTAGTATGGTCACTCATAGTGGTGTATACAATTATACTCTAGTTATAATGGAGTAGTTATAGTGTGGTTGTAATACTTGTATCTGAAAAGCCTGGTTATTCCTCTACCCCTGTCCCTCACTCGCCCTACAGAAACAGTATATTACTAACATCATTATTATAACTATGCCTATTATAAGAATGATTAACATTTCAATCTTTGTATGATTTGGCTTCATTTTAAAATTTATTTTTACCTGGGAGTCTTTTCCTACCTGAGCTTTATATCAGCATTTAGTGGTGCATGAAGCCAATAAAGAGTAGCTCCATGGAGTCCTATCTAATCCAAGTCCCCCCTGTCTTAGCTTGGGCTGCCTAGATGAATACCATAGACTGGGTGGCATACACAACAGAAATTAATTTTCTTACAGTCTGGGGCCTGGCAAGTTCAAGATCAAGGTGCCAGCCTGGGTGGGTTCTGACGAGGACTTGCTTCCTACCTGGCCACTTCTTACTGTGTTTTCACATGGCCTTTCCTAGGTGTACATGCCTGGAGAGAGCGCGATCTTCCTCTATCCTCTTCTTATAAGGCTACTAATCCTATTGGATTAGGACCCCACCCTTATGACCTCATTTAACCATAATTAGCTCCTAAAAAATCCTTATGTCTAAATATAGTCACATTGAAGCATCAGGGCTTCAACTTGTGAATTTTGGGATGACACAGTTCAGTCCATAGCACCCTCCAAAGGACATTGTTCTTTGAAATCTGTGGTGTTAACTACAGTCATCAAGGGATGGGCAGTGTCTCTGACTGTACAGCTTCAGCATCAGAGAGTTTGGAGTTTTCCTTGGTTCAGAGAGCCCCATGGTTCTCATGGGTGCAAGCCCCACTGGCTTTCAGAGCTAGAGGTTTTGGGACCTCATCTTTCATGTACAGGTCTTAAAAGTTGGGGTGCTAGATGTGGGATTCAAACCCTTTGCACCTCAGGGAGAAGCTCAGCTTTGTGAGTTCCCTCCTCATTGTGGGTCACTGTGGCAGAGGTGGTCTTTATGGCAAGACTGTGTCTCAGCCTCTCCTACCTGTTTCAACGTGGGTTTTTACTCATTCACCCAATGTGTAGGAGCCACTCAGCTAGTTATGGGGATTCTTTCAGTGGAAATTGTTCTGTATGTAGCTGTAGGTTTGATGTGTCCATGGGAGGAGGTGGGTTCATGATCCTCCTAAGTGGCCATCTTGAACCCTACTACTCTAGTTATCTTTTCCTGTGATGTCTTTGTCTGACTTTGGTATCAGGGTAATGCTGGCCACATAAAATGAGTTTGGAAGTTTACCCTCCTCTTCAAATTTTGGAATAATCTGAGAATTATTGGCATTAATTCTTCTGTAAATGTTTGATAGAATTCACCAGTGGAGCCATCTGTTACTTGGGATTTTCCTTCTTGGGAGGATTCGGATTATTAATTCAAACTCCTTAGTACTTATAACTCCATTCAAACTTTCTATTTCTTGATTCTGTCTTGGTAGGTTGTATATTTTTAGGAATTCATTTCTTGTAGTTTATCCAGTTTGTTGGTATATAATTGTTTATAGTAATATCTTATGATCCCTTTTATTTCTATGGCATCAGTTATGTCTCCTCTTTCCAATTTTATTTAGTTTCATTATTAGTCTGCCAAAAGGTTTGTCAACTTTATCTTTTGAAAAAGCCAACTTTTAATTTCTTTGATTTTTCTATTTCTATTTCTAGTAAAAAAAATATCTCTGCTCTAATCTTTATTATATCCATCCTTCTTCTAGCTTTGGGTTTTGTTCTTCATTGTCTAGTTCCTTGAAGTGTAAATCTAGTTTGGGTTTTGTGGGGGGTTTTTTTGAGATATTTCCTCTTTTTTAGGCATTTATTGCTATAAACCTCCCTCTTAGTACTGCTTTCGGTATTTGGTATTTTTGTTTTGTGTTTGTCTTGAGATCGCTTCTAATTTCCATTTTGATTTCTTCTTTGAATCTCTGGCTTTTCAAAAGTGTGTTTTAAAATTTCTACATAGTGAATTTTCCATTTTCCTTCTGTTATTGATTTCTTTTAATCTATTGTCAGAAAGAAAAAACTTACCAAACCATAGTGCAAACATCATGTACAGGAAAGTAACTGAGACAACCTTCTTAACTAAACTATAGACCTTATGGCAAATTCACCATTTTTCACTAATGTCCTGTTCTCTGCTCCTGGATTGGATACAAGTAGGAAGTAATATCTCCTCACTGCCTCCAGCCTCTAAAATTTCCTCAGTATTTCCTTGTCCTTCATGACCTCAAATTGTGTTGATTTGGTGTTAAGAAGAAAGGCTTCCTAATGAAAGAATGCCAAAATTCTATGGTATCAGTTACATCAGTTTTCCTTATCAACATATATTTCTGAATGACTAGCCAGGTGTCTCGGTTGATATTCTTACCTCATATAAAGGAACCCGGCTTCCATACCAAATCAAAGGTCTATGTATAAATCATGAGATGTATATACTAGACTGTCCTTCACCTTC